AGTAAGTAAGTAAGTAAGTAAGTAAGTAAGTAAGTAAGTAAGTAAGTAAGTAAGTAAGTAAGTAAGTAAGTAAGTAAGTAAGTAAGTAAGTAAGTAAGTAAGTAAGTAAGTAAGTAAGTAAGTAAGTAAGTAAGTAAGTAAGTAAGTAAGTAAGTAAGTAAGTAAGTAAGTAAGTAAGTAAGTAAGTAAGTAAGTAAGTAAGTAAGTAAGTAAGTAAGTAAGTAAGTAAGTAAGTAAGTAAGTAAGTAAGTAAGTAAGTAAGTAAGTAAGTAAGTAAGTAAGTGCACCATTCTCTCTCATTAATTTTATTTAATCAAGCAAAACCAAGTCTAACGTTCTCATTATAGAGTTATGCAAATCATTGAGTTTCACTGAATCTGTGAATTCATCATTGTTAGACCACCATATAAAACCTCGAAGCACTAAACTTCCTTTCCATCCCAGTATGCGATTCATCAACCGTTCGCATCGACGACCCCCTACCCGTCGGAATCGAACCTAGGAACTCCACTCTTGCTTAACTTAAAGACTACTGAGCTAGCCGTCATCTAACTGTGTTAATGTGCGAATTATACTTTTTAATCCCTTCATTCACTTGATTACTTCTCTATAACATGAATTTTAACTCTATTCCATAGACGCTGATGTTTTAAAGGTGAGTGACGGCCAAAACAATGAATACATACACTAAAATACACTATAATTCTATTGATTTACATGCTGAATGAAAGAAAGAGAAAGAAGATAGAAGAACATGTATTCAATAGAGTATTTTTTTTACCATTCTTAACAAAAGTTAAAATGTTTAAAACATAGAAACGTTGTGTTTTATGTATATATTTTTTTGTTTTCTGTTTTGTCTACCAACAAATAGAGAACCCTTAAGGAAAAAAAATAACAAGAGCAACACAGAATTAACAAAAGTATAAATGTGAGTGAGAATATAATCAGTTGGATAATAGTGATCAAGTTAGCGAGAGAGAAAGATGAACCCTTTCTTTTTCTCTCTCTCTCTCTCTTTGACACCATAACTACCATTTATTAAGAGAAAATAATTGTAAAAAACTAGGTAGGTGACTGATAAACTCAAAAAATTCTTTCTAACTAATTATGCTTTTTTCATGCAAATTTTTTTGACCGGTTAATAAATTTGAATCAAGCAACAACAACAAAAAAAACAATGAATGTAACAAAAATAGCAGGAATTCATTGAATTTCACTGTTTCTTTTCAATTGCTTACAACTTCAAAGTCATAGTACTAATCAATAAAAACCAGTATATATGATGATGATATGATATGATATGATAGATGCAACACAGAACTTCGTACGTACGCACGTACGTACATCATTTCAGGTTGCCATACCACATCAGAACAGAGATGCAATTGTCAGTTCAAATCAAAGAGTGATAGCGATAGTAGAAGTATTAGTAGTAATGGAGAAGATTACGGTTCAAAGATATGATTCGAGAAGTATAATTCAGTGAGATAAATTTAGAAGGAGAAAGATGGAGATGATGAGCAATTCAGAAGGTTAGAATTAGAGAGAACACAAAGGGCGGATGCACTTGCGCCATTGCAAACGATTCTGAACCATGTCTTTCAGGGTATCTAACCATTGGTGACTTTCGTCTCGCGGACCCCAACCAGGTAGTCTACATCTACCAACATGACTCAGTCCACTTGTCAGTGACTTCATGGATTTCTGCCATGTTTTGGTTTGACCGCGAGCTCTCGGTATCCGAGCTGAGATTTCGTCAGTCACCAGGCCATCAGCACTGATGAGACTCCCCAGATAAGTGAAGCGGTCTACAGGTTCGACTACTTCACTCCCAATATATATATAGGTAGATAGATGAACGATGTTTTGTGATTTAAGGATAGGTTGGAAGAAAGCTAGGGGCAACCAAACCAAAACGTGACACAAATCCATGCAGTCACTGACAAGTGGACTAAGTTGGTGGAAAAAAATTGTATCTCAGATGGATGATTGTGGTTGCATTCGGTTCTCTTGTAGCACCTCACATACATCTTGTACTTTTATCATTGTTGAGCTTGTATGCGCATGTACGTTTGGGCATTACTTGCCACCTACACATATAGTTATTTGACTAGCTTTATCGATTAACAGTTTGAATAATTCGATGTCAATATCGACTATACATATTTGAATTCAATTAGATATTTGTATCGATCATAAAATAACTTGAATAATAAAGAGATTGTGGCAACGACTCGTATTCTCTCGTAGCGATCATCAAGACGGAGATCTACGGGAAATCGAAGATAACGAAAGTCTAACGCCACAATAAATTACCAAATGTAACTTCAGCCATTGGTTGGTTTGTGTTTAACCCGAAAGTACCTTGTGTGCTGGGGGGGATGTGAGGAGCAGCGCCTGAGATTATCTGGAAGAAGAAAGAACAAGAGAAAAAGATGAGCCGACGACTCAGTAAGCACATAGAATGCACTTACATGCAATATACGAATAAACAGACAGCAACCAGATATAAAGCCAGCGTGAGATTAAGACAAACTGATAAACGAAACCAGTAGTAGATAGAGTTAGGTTTCGAATGCGTTACATGACTCCTCCTGATAGAAAAGCACTGTCCTCAGTGCTTGCGGTACCTGTGTTTCTATGAGGCTGAGTTACATGATGTGAAATAGCCGCTGTGCTGTGTTACATGGAGTGGGATGGTTGCTGTGGGATGCGCCTGAATGTGAGCTAACTGAATCCCACCTCCATCCTGTCGGGCTCACCAATTTATTGTGGCTTTAGACTTTCGTTATCTTCGATTTCCCGTAGATCTCCGTCTTGATGATCGCGTTTTTATTGAATGTGTTGTTATTCATTTCACTCATGTGTTTAAATATCTTTTGGAACTCTCGATACTCTAGAATTTTCTTTACTGTAGAATATTCATTCGTTATTGTTTTATTCAATCTTTTAACTTATCATAGATTGTTACTATAGTATGAATTAACACGTATATTTCTCAATTTAACCTTTACTCAAATTTACTTCAACCTTGATTCCAATCACCCTAATGTAATCAAAATAAATCCATGTTCCAATTTGTTAAGGACGTTGAGTCCCCAGAACTCACTTGATAAAGCTCCTAATTTTGGATTTTATGTTTGCGAACATGGGCTGATCGGTTGACCTTGAGAAAACATTTCCCACCAGGGAATTCCTTCACTGTCACTAGATGATGTGGTATTTTAGTACGCTATTTTTGTGACCCTCCCAAGGACGTTTTATATCATGTGTAAATAAACTCCATTTGTATGCTTGTCGACCTCTCATTTTCTGGGTGCTTGTAGACTACACTCTCCACGCCATATCAAGACTTCTTCTTATACTTAGTGGGGCCTTGGAACGCTCGGATTAGAATAGCCTATCGTCTCACTGGATCATTTGTCTCGCTCTCGTTTACCGAATAAGGTGAACTCATAATAGTTTTTAAGCATATCCATTGACGAGCATATCAAATTTATTTCACATTCTTTCTTTAATTAAACTAATAAATCAATTCATAACATGAAAATATCGATAAAACTATTGTTTAACTCTTAGAGTTCATTCCTTTATCAAAAAAATGTTGATTGGATTGGATATTCACAAGGTTTAGCTATTTTCGTTGATTTCATTTCCTATTATTATCCCTCTTATCCTTGTTATATAGTTATTTATGATCTCTAATAATTAATAGGCATGATTTCATTTGATTTGATTTGATCTAATTTGATTTTTCTCTCTCTAGGGCAGTATGTAGCATGCATGATCAGCTGTTTGAATACCTTTTTTTGTCGTTTAAAACAAATAAAAATGTTATCTGAGACTAACTTCCGTCTTGTTTGTCCATTCCACATAATTTTATCTATCTATCCCTGAAACTTCCGTCAATAAAATAACCTGTCCGTATATCGGAAATTTGATTGTAAACGAGTACATACACACACAACAACACAACACACTCATATACATGAGAATATGTCCCATCTATATGTACATATATACATACATACATACACAAATAGGTAATACACACATTGTTGTACACACAAACGGATGTACCACATACATGCCATGAAACATTATATATATGTATGTATGTATGGTACGCTTCCGCCCTTGACTGTATACAATTTATATCTAAAACACGGAAGGCTGAATGTGAATACACACTGTGTTGTAGGGCATTTTTTTCTGTTCTAAACTTCTGCTCATTTCATTGTATAAACTAACAAAACGACTAACGCACACACACAAACACAAATAGACACACACACACACACTAATCCATTATTCATATTAGGATGATTGTATGAAAAACATTGTTCGTTTCTTATTTCCGCTCCCACTTCCGTGTCTTTTACATTATCAGTACTAGTCGATTTATATATACACACACATACACATACAATATGTAATAATAATAATAATAATAATAATAATGATAATAGTAGTAAGCCACCCCTGCCTGAAATCTGTTAACACAATGGCGTCAATTCACTGTATATTATTATTTTCCTCATATTAATAATAATAATAATAATACTTATAATAATCAGTATTGGAAAAGATGACTCTTCTGTGTTTGTCTGGCCTATAATAATACGCAAAGAAATAGGTGAAAATATTGACCAACTATTATGAATTAAAAAAGGCTGAACAAGAACAGTATATAAATAGATATATATATATATATACATAGTAGATTTAATAATCATTTAAACACACAGATTCGATCAGCCCGGAGGAAAGTTAAAGAATTGTCAATGTTCAATGCAAATATTTTCATTACATTGTTACATTGTGAAAGTTCCTTTGATCATCTTTAACGTGTTGTTTCATTTGAATTGGATAAGAAATGTGTCATGTGTGTTAAAGATTTTTTTAAAATTATTTCACTAATATTTGAATATGTACAAATTGTAAAGTTTGTTTTTTTCAGTTTTTGCGTTACACTATTGAATGATTGAACACACAATATGAATGATATACATAATTTAACACCATACGATTATAGTAATAATAATACTACTAATACTAATACTACTAATCAAGATTTATCAAATTTACCAATAAAACGAAGTCGATTAGATCCTCATCATCAGCATCATCAACATTCAACAGAATTCATTCATGAAACAGTGGAAACCGCTTTGATCAGACCGGAAAATGATAGTCGCGACGACAATAACAATAATGATAAAGACAAAGTGGAAATATATGATACCGGAATTAAATTCACTTCTAGTCATGAATGTCAACATCAAGAATCGGATAAAACATCATTATCATCAGCCATGTCATCGTCATCGACAACAATAACAACACAACAAACATTATCCAATACAAATGTAAATCATCATAAATGTAATTCATACTTGACTAATGAAAATAATCATCATCATCAACATTTGGATGAATATCAACAACAAACAAATAGAATAGATAATGAGCAAGATACACAAGTTCAACTTCAATTGAATAATCATGATTCAGATGATGTAAGTTATGATTATTATTATTACTATTATTGTCGTTGGTATAATTGGTATTACTATTATTAGTAGTGTTGATCATAGCAGTGTAATAAATGAAGAAGACACACTTTATTGCATTATCATGAAATATTCATTTGCAAAACAAGAGTATTCTTGTCTGCCTTCTTTCATATATTTGATCGCACCATACATCTGGATTGGATACTGTTCACTTCGACTGTATTAACACAGGGCTACTTAAATGCTTTGTTGTGAGTAGAACACATCAAACTTGCCTTTTGTCATAACTCTCTAGCGTACAGGTGCACTGGCCTTCGTAATTCAGTAGACCAGCTAGGCACATAGAGTCCACTACCAGTCTCCTCTCCAACAACACAAACTACTCCATCCAATATCACGTCCGCCCGACTCCTCAACAGTATTTTAAGAAATGTTCACCTTACCCTGATCCATTGACAGCGATACCAAATGTAGTGAACAAGGGTGTGTGATGTGATTCTTGTCAAAGTGAATGATAAATACAAGGTATATGCAGTTGATTTATTTTTTTCTCTCTCAAGAACTTTGTGTTTATGCTTGATGAAATACATTTAATGAGACGGTTATATAATAATAATAATAATAATCAGTGTTCAGAGACTGTTCAGAGTATGATCTAACTCATAATTGGTCCTAGTAATAAGATCTATAATTCAAATTTCAATATTATTTCATAATCATTATCTTTTCATTTTATTCTTACTCAAAGTTTAATTTTTTTTACAAACTTATATATATATTACTTTTATTCCAACTCCTTTTTGTCACTTATCTTATTCATTTATTCTTGGTGTATTTATTTTGGCTTGACAGTTATCAGCCACGTCCAGTTCTTATGTGCATGTTGACTGACTAAAGGCGGATAATATTCATCTTGGACATCTTGAACAAGTAACCTTTGAAATTCTTATTATATAAAGTAGTACAAGTTTTATTCTATAACAGATGATTTGAGGTTGAATTCCACACAGAGCATCATTTTTCTTAAGGTTACTAAAAAATCTCAACTATCAGAAACCTGAAAGTATTAGACGGCCATTTCGTTCTAGTATGGAACTCATCAGCAGTGTGCATCCACAACCTTTACTCGCGATTGGTCTAACGCTGACCGATTCTCGATTTCAATGAAACTTAACAATCTCCAGAACCCTTTAATGAAAATCTCAACTAGCATAAAATTTAAATCCAAGGATTCATACTGTCATTATTCAGCTATTTAGCGTTCCTAACACAGTGTATATAATATCGAACTATTGAGCATCAACGTCATCAGAAAATAATTCTACTAGTATTAAAACATTAAAAAAAGCATACGATTGTTAATAATGCAGTAGTCAATCAGTTCTGAACTGTACTCGTACGTATTTATTAATATTTACTCAATTTTTTTACACATCCTTCTGTGTTAGTTTTGAACCTACTGAAGAATAACCTTTTTCAAGTTTATTTACTTTTTCCTTGATTTTTATTCAACTTTTAAAGAATATTTTTAAATTGTCTGAATGACAACTCATTTCCATTAAGTCTGCTAATGCGTTAGTTACAACAAACATAAGTAGTATACATAAATTTTTTAAAAATATACATTTATTTTTATTTCATACACATAATTATTGGTACAAAGTGGCTATCTAAATATTTATGCGTAACACAGAGTGTTGAATTTATGAGTGAGATAGGATACTCCCCGGCTGCAAGCGATTTTTTTTTAGAGGACCACTTCCTGAGTCTTTGACCTAAAAGTTTAATCCACAGCGTAGTGTAGCAACATCAAGAGATACAGTCTCATGGTAACCGATGATCAACAATAGATTCATACATCATTCATTCCGTCGGGGTCCTGCAGCCCATATATACCACTGGTTTGGAATGAATGTTTTACAACTCTCCTAGGTGAAACTTCTTTACTCATTAAACCAGTCTGAATACCGGATACTGGCTTTTCATTCTTTCAGCGACAGTTGTGCCGTGAGAAGGCAGTGAGTAGGACCTCCCTGACAATGGATTTATACACGTAATAATTGCTTCCATAAGAAGAACTATTAATCAATTATGGAAATTTACAGTGTTTCGTATTAAAACTATCAATCTACTTCCGACATTATTTTAGTACTTGCAAAATCTGAATTGATTACGTATTGCTACTGTGAACATTAGACATATAGATTTAAATGTACCGGAACCAGTTGATTAAAAATGTAGATAGGATATTAGTTGGGTAATGTTAGGTTTGATGGATTATTATTAATGATAAAAATTTATCATTTAACTCTATGAACCAACTAAAAAGTGTTTTACACAGTTGTGTATGTATAGGATGCAGAGTGGATTCTAGAAGTTTAGATGCGCGCCTTGCCCAGTTAATCCGAAAAGAAAGCAATTTTTTCTGGGTAAGAAACAGTTCTATTATTAATCAAAAAATACAGATAATTACCTAAACAATATTACACTGTTCTCCGTCAAAATTAACACAATGTGTTTCCAATTCTGGAAGAATGCTTCCGCATAGATCTAAAATTACACCCTTCCAGTCCAGATGCACGTTTTACCCGCCAAGCTATCAAATCCGATATGGCTGTAGCCATAATTAAGTATCAACTTAAACAACATAATACAGTTCAGTAGGGAACGTAGAAACTCCAATAAGGGTACAACAAATAGGAATTATACCAAAATACAAATATTAAAATCACAAAATGGGATTAAACAGACCACCAAAATGTAGCACAGAAAGAGACAGTAAGAACATATTACAGATTTATATACATGGAGGGATTTTCCCAAAACAAAGCCTTCAAAATGGATTCTACATATATCTTATTAGTAGAAATAAATATCGGCATTTTTTGTTCATTGTCTAGAATAACTTTAAGTGTACAGTTACGATCCCAGTCGTATATACTTCTCGAATTATATTTCCGATCAATATTAGCTATGTGAT